CAAAAATTTGCTGGCAGATTAAGTCAACACTAGCAAAGGCTCATCTGTGAGCAAAGAGTTGAAGCCCAGTTTCAAATACTCATTTATTATTTTCCTTCATTTTTGACATTTGAACCTGCCCTCTCATAAAACTAGTTCTTGGACTCTCCTTTGGGTTTTTGCTAAGCATCTCAGCCTCTGATACCCAAAAGAAAACTCATGATCTTATTCCCAAGACAAATTCTTCCATCCATCAAGTATTTACTGAGCTCCTACTATGTGGCAAGCACTGTGTTAAATGTGGGGGATACGGGCTAAACAAGATCAAACTGATCTTTCTTTCAAGAACTGGGTGGTCAAGTAGGGAAGGCACGCAAATCAAAGCGGCACAGAAAGTAATTACAAACTCACATAAGTTATGCGAAGAAAGGAACACAGCTGTTTGTTGAAAAGGCATTTGTTCTGCTTACAAGAATTATGACTGCCTAAGGATTTCAAACTTGAAATAAAATTTGATGGATGGATTGGTATTAATCCAGCAAGTGGAGGGCACACAGTGAGCAAAAGTTTGGTCGGTGAATAGCTGAACAAAAGCCAGTGTGCACCAAGGCCTGGGCAGAGAGAACCCCAAAGCCCTTGGTCTTTGTACAGGGAACACGGACATCTTCTGAACTGTTCTAAGCAGAAGGTGATGAAATACAATTCTATTTGGAAACCATCCCTCCAGAGAACAATTTGGAGGTGGAATTGGTGTAGAGAAGAAAGCAAAGCATGGGGTACCCAGGTCCAAGAGGTGACAGTGGGTCTCAGGAGCTGAGATGGAGGGTGGCCGGGTGATGTGAGGGACCTGGTGCGGGAGCTGACGTGCGCAGGAGGGGGCAGGAGGGGCCAGGAATGGCCTCTGTGCTTTTACGTCTGTCTCTTCCCATGCTGGCACTACATCCATCCGACTAACCCGCAGAGGCCCATGGGATCCTTCATTTCCCCTATTCCTACACCCCTGTTCCTCTAAAGAGGCCTTTATCTCTCACGTCTATGCGGTCCCTCTCCGTTTCAAGGTTGCTGCCCTACGTTAGGCCCTTGAAAATCCCCCCTGGGTCATTCCCACAGCCTCCTAGGAGGCTCCCTGGGCACAGGAGCCATTCCTGTCAATCCATTCCAGTGCCACCCAGGCAATTAGCCGTTACCGTATTCAGCAGCTTTTGGTGGTTCCCCCGGCTGAGCGGGGTCCCGACTCCTTAACGCAGCACACAAGGCCCGTGGGCATCCGGGCCCACTCGTGGCTGCATCTGGAATCCTCCTCCTTCTCCTTCCTACTTACTCCTCACTGTTTCCTCCCTAAACCGAAACTCAAGCATCACCTCTGGGAGAAAGAACGACCTTCAGTTTTCTGTTTACCTGCGGTAGATCGAAGCGGTCCAGGACTTTCAACCAAAGTGCTTCCAAGAAAGCTTTTTACTTGACGCTCTCCTTGAATTCCTTCAAACTGCCTCTTATTTAACTGCACGTGTGGACACCTTTCTCCTGGGTAACGGTGTGTCCATCAGGGTGCTTTCAAGGGTCGGGAGAGACCCCCCAGACCAGACACGTTGGCCAACGAGAATATCAGTCATCCTCCGTGATGGAGGGTCCTGGATGTGGGCAGGCCTGCGGTCAGGCCGCTCTGACATTCATATCACAGTGGTCAGCCCAAAGCTTCGGGGTCACAGATGCTTCCGGAGGGCAGCCTGTGCTCCGCGCTTGCTCCATTGCCCCGGCGGGGGCGGGCAAGGGGCCTCTCTGGTCACGGTGCATTGCAGCAGTCCCTCCCCTGAGCGACCTGGAACCAGGTCAGCAGGCCCCACCGAGGCCAATAACCACCGCCAGGGGAAGCTGGGTTTCGGTTGGTCTACACCAGGTTTCTGAACCACTACAGAGGGACAGAGAACCAACTTGTCCCAGTGCTTCTCAAAGTGTGGGCCCTTCACCGCTAGCATCCGCATCCTCCGTGAACTTGTTACAAATGCGGTCAGAACCTCTGGCGATGTGAGCAGGACTAGGCCAGGTAGAATGACCTCCTGAAGGAGAGTTCGAAGAACATACACACACGTGTGTGTCTCGGGGTCTGCCCAACCTGAGACTACCTCTCCTAAGTCAGGTTGTACTTTGATTTATTTTTTTTATTTAACAAGACAAACGTTCTCAGCCACCAAGAGATGGAGGCCAACCAAGTCGTTTTCATGTGCCCATTGCTCCTTATCAGTTGCAAAGCACAACAGTTTCTAGATATTACTCATACTTTCTTTTCTACTTGAAGGTGGGATGTTTTAAGTATTCAAATGAGCTGCCGAGATGTTACTGCTCACACAGTGGCGGGGCAGCTTGGTCACTCCTCAGCCCCACCCTCCGGCCCCCGCACGGACTACCAGTGAAGAGGGAATCTGCCCAACCTATGAAATAACCTTCCCTAGACAGAAATGATGGGTGTAAGAAGAAAGTCAACTACAGCCTTTGGATTATTTGAGAATTCAAAGAGACAAGATTTTCCTGACCTACTTATAGAAAAATGAGGATCAAATACAGTAGAGTAAGCAACAATGCTAAAAAAAAAAAAAAGTGCTTTAAGCAAAGAATTGCACATACATTCATTTTCGATCCAAGCAGCCAGTCATCTAGGAAAGTACCGTGTCCTGACAAGCCTTGCCTGAGGAAGAGTCAAAACAGACTAACAAGCTTGATAGAAAAAGTGTATTATTGAAAGACCTGGAATCTCAGCTCCCTTCCGGAGACTTTTCTGGGAGTCAGTCCCTCACAGAAATGTGAAATAGTAAGACTACTTTAATTCAAGGAGATGTTCAAGGTGAACATGTTCGGGAAAGGAAAATGGTCTCCAGTCATTCATTCTCTGTTACCAAATCCCACCTCACTTCCTGGAGTCGAAACTCAGTTTGCAAAGGATCTTCATTATTTGTCCTGGGCTCCGCTTTTAAGCAGGGTTCTTAGCTGCACATCAGAGCCTACTCTGCTGGTTCAAGCAAGAGGAACGTACTGAACACAACATGCACAGTTTCCACAGGGGTCAGAGAATGAAATTTGGAAGCTGCACAGCCAGGACTAACATCTAAAATCATACCTTACGACCGGTGGCTTCTTTCTCTACTATGAACAGACCCTGCAGGTTGTGCCATCGATACTGACGTTCAAACTCCTTCCACTGCTTCCATGGAAAAAGGCATGAGCTTCCCCGCCTCCACCACCGGGAGTCAGTGAGGTGCATTTTTGGGTCACTAGCTTCCAATTCAAAGTCTGTTGCCCGTGGCTCTAATGGGCCAAATCTAAGTCACAGGTCACCCTGGAAGATGGGGAAAATTAATGCCTGGTATCTAGAGTGGGAGGTGGAACTGATAAGGTGGAAATGCCCCTAACACAGAAAACTGTTCAAAGGTAGCAAAAAATCCAAAAAAATGACAAGTATCTGCTAGCTCCAGACTTGGGACCCTTTACAGCTGGTCCTTAAACAACTGCTTTCCTGCACAGCTGAAAATCCACATGTAATTTTTGACTCCCCAAAAGCTTAATTACTAATAGCCTCCTGTTGACCAGAAGCCTTACCAATAGCATGAACAGTTGATTAACACATATTTTATATATTATAGGTATTATTATATTATATATTAATATATTATTATAGGTATTCTTACAATAAAGTAAGCTAGAGAAAAGAAAATGTTTCTTTAAATTGTCACAGAACTCCAATTTTCCAATGTACTTATTGAAAAAACATCTGGTTACAAGATTCACAGTTCAAACACTCCATTTCAAAGCAATTCACACCCTCAGCTTCCATTGTGGTCTTTGCCGTCAGGCGTGGCTGGGGGAGGAAGTGCAGCGGTTATACACTATTCAACTGTATACCTGCAGGCTTCTTACCATCTAAGTAGACAGATGTGATAGCAAGCAAGTGCCGTAACCGTGGTCTACCGATGGCTGCCATGCTACCCGGTGACACCCAGAGACAACATAAGAAAATCTCCATCAAGCAACATTCTTATCAGAAACTTCAATTATTCATAGGTAATGGGGTGTTAATCCTCCCGAAACTGTTAACAGACCACCTTATCTAAAGGATTCCATTTAAATAGCTATTTGTTATCACATTTATTTGTTTTCAAAGAGGCATGTGACAGAAGACATTGTGTTGCTTAAAATGTGGGTTTTTTTGATGAAAAATTACATGAGGCCAGAGTCTCCAGGCAACCAATATTTTTAAGGGAATAAGTTTTTTAGCTGACCTTCCTTAACAAGGAATGGGTTGACCCTAGGCAACGGAGGTCAGAACGTTAGCCGCCGGGGCCGCCCTTTACTGGGCATAGGCAGCCTTGCTCAAATGAGGAAAAACTGCTTTCCTGAATACCCTTTTTTACTTGCATATGCTGAAAATCATCATTTCATTCTTATATTTAAAAGAACAAAATGACTTCCTGCCATCTATCCTAAACTTGTACAAAATGTATACATATTAAGTATAAAAGTGAATGGTACCTTCCTGGGTTGTGCAGTACACAGCCTGACCAGCCATGCACTGTACCCCTAATGACCATGCCCCCTCTGCAGAAACACCTCTGCCAGGACATCGTTTGTAAAAGCATTAACCTCATATATATATAACTGCATGAGTATTTGCTTTAACAAAGAATCTTACAAGTCTGTGGTTCAAAAAAGACAGAAGTCATCTTTCTCCCATGTGACCATCTTCGGGAAGGGTTGGCAAATTATAGCCTGTGGGCCAGATTCAGAGCCCAGCCTATTTTTGCAGGATCCCCAAGCGACAAATGATACTTACATATTTAAATAATTATTACAAAAAAAAAAGTGTGGCAGGGACATTATGCAGCCACATAATTTATTTGATCTTTTACAGAAAAATACTTGGTGCCATAAAGGCATGGAGGTTGGCAGGTGGTCCGCGACAGCAAGGAAGCTGTGCCCCGAGGCCACTCAGGGACTCACTCTACCCCGTTGCTCTGCAGACGGTCACTCACCCAGGACATTGTCTGCATCCACGTCGTCCCAGTCGGCTTCCACAGCCTAGTCAGGGCAAAGGGGAAGGACAGAAAAGGTCAGGCACTTCTTTTTTCAAAAAAGTGAGACCAGAGGTTGCTGCACACAACACTGCCCTTAAATCATAGGGCCACAACCACAGCATGTCACCGTGGCTAATGGCAGGAGCTGGTGGGGACCGTCACCCCCAGTGGGCAGCCATGTGCTCGCAGCGGGGTAACTGGCAGTAGGAGAAATAGGAAGCCTCTACTACATACAGTGCAGGGCCCTCCTGTCCACCTCACTTAGTGCTGAGTTGTTTCAAAGGGTTAACATCTCCCCTCTCGCCACCCTAAGCGCCGGGATAATTCTCAGGGAGTGATTTCCTGTGGGGATGAGATTTCTGTCAACAGCCAAGGAGCTTTAAGTAAAAAAAGCGAGCAAAGGGAATGGAAGAGACAAGAGAGGAAGGTGTAGGGAAAGGAGACGGGAACAGGATGGGATGAGGCACTAGTCAGACAAGAGGGCATGTCAGGGTCCTTTAGTCAAGTGGCCAAAGCAGCTGAAAATGACACCGTTCATGTCCTCACCTACTTAGTGTCTTTCCTAAAGAGATTTGTGGAAGACACTCCCAGCTGCCTGCCTCCAGCAGAGACTACTAAACACAAAGACTGTCTAGCAGCCTAATGAGAAGAAGATAAACACTAGCCACGTTCCTGGTTCACGTCGGTGAATCCAGTCCTGAGGTCAGGCTTCCCGCTGTCCTGTGCTTATTTGTTGGATATATTTCAGTGATGGTGTTGAATGGTTACAGGGGTGAGGAAGCAGGAAACTGTATCTCTGAGCCTCTGGCTTCAGCTCTGGAGGGAAACCCCAGGCAGGGCCGTGAACCCGAAGAGTCTGTCTAATTGGGGCCGTCAAGGAAACCGGATGCCCCGAGGAGAAGAGGCCCCTCTGAATGCCTGCTGTCCCAGGAGCAGGCTCCGTCTCCCAGGCCCAGGAGGACCGAGGACAGCTGACCCCAGGAGGAAGCTGGTACCCACAGAGAGGCAGCCACATAAACCACAGGGATTTCCCAGGGCACCCAGATGGGACTGGCAACTGCTGTAAATGGCAGGGCTACCAGATTAGCAGGGCTGTGTCCCCACCACAGCCTGCCCTGCCCACCCAGGGTCAACAGAACCATGAATAGGCAAGTAGGCAAAGGAAACTAAGAACCTACCACACCTCAGGGCAACAAGTAGAATAATTAGTGGGGCTCCTAGCAAAACAGAACTGCCAGATGAGAGAGAAGACAATGACTTTAATAAATAATAATAATGGCACTCCATTAAACTCCATTAAAACATAAAAGACTCTAGGCGACTACAAAGTATTGTTTTCAAAGTAAAATCAATTATACCCATTATTTCACTATGAGAAATAGTAAAGATGTGAGCAAAGAGGATGGTCATTTGTGAGCACTGAATTAGCATCCAGGACTAAATAGAAGAAATACCTTAATACACAGGCCACAAAGAAAAGGAGATAGTGTATCTTTTAGAGTTTAATTTTAAGTACAGAAACCACTGTAGTTGGAATCCCACTGCAGGAATTTCAGAGGTCAGTGGGGACCTGGAAAATTGTGAGTAGCTGTTAAGTTACCCCCAGAACTAGCCCACCAGGCTACCGCCTCCACGAGTCAGGAAGGCGGGGGACAGACGGAGGGGGCCCCTGCTCCAGCCGCAGGCTGCAGGACCACCACCTCAGCCCACAGAGGTGTGCCCTGCACCCCGCCTCTCCGCACCTACAGCAAGTGCCGGATGCTGGGACCCTGTCACGGATGCCGCTGGAAAAGCAAAGGCCTCCACCACCGTGGTGTAGGGGCACGGAGGTCCTCACTCCACATGCCTCCAGCTCATATGCTTGGTGGAAGCCAGGTTAACTGTGGCGCCCAAGCTGAACGGAAGCTTGAGAAATACAACATGGTCTTTGCTTTTCCTACATTTAGCACACACAAAAACGTGTTAGAAGGGGCTTGGGATCCTATCACCCGCCGTATGTGACAGAGTGGGCATTTGTCACTATATTCATCGTCCGACAGAGTCCCTCACAATGCTGTCCTTCACCAATTCTAGGATGTCTTTCACCAGTGCCAGATTTCGCCAATTCTAGGATGTACGCTGCTTTGTCTTAATTAAGCATCTCTGAAGTTGGTGCTCTGGCCCCCAGTGGTATCTTAGATTCTCCCCATTTCAGGAAGCCCGGAGGAGAAAGTCATGCTCAGTGAATGTTGGCTATTATAGTTATTAACCTTGTCTAAAATGAGAGGCAGTTTATGGCAACCGTGACATTTTAAAATTGGTTGAGTATCTAATTATGGTTAGAAAGGAGCAGCGTTAGGTAGAAAAACAGACATGAGCAACCAGGAAAGGGGCAGATAAGGTCCAAGGGGAAAAAACTGCTCAATTCCTGCCCAGGTAGGGGTCTCACGAGAAGACAACAAGGATTTGCAGGGAGAAAACGTCCTTGCCCGTTGGGACCAGGCCAGACCGGCCCCAACCAGATCAATGGAGCAAAACTAAGAACTGCCCAAACCACAGCTCAGCCTGGGAAAGGGCATGCACACTGAGAGGGAGGCTATGCAAATGACCCTGTCAATCAAAGAGGCACCTCCCAGCCAGAATGTAGAAAAACGACCTCCCGCCTAATGACTGGGACCTGTGTCTACCTTGACTCTGGCCCTCTCCTCCCTTGGAGTTCATTCAAATAAAACTTGCTCTGCTGCCTTTTAATTCTTTGTTCCGGTGGGGACAAGAAGCAAGGAAAATAAACTCGACCTGCAACAGAATGCTCATAGAGAGCATTTGTACACGTTATATCTGTAATTCGCAAATACAAAATCCCACCTCTTAGTACCTTATTGGTTTCTGTACTTATAATTAAATTCTATTAGTACAGCTTCCATCAGCGCAGTTAGAAATTGCTCAATGACATCCCCAACCACATAGCAAGGACACAAGGCTGAAAAAAGACTTTGAAATGATTTCAAGGTAAGGTACAGGCAACGCTTAGGAAAATTTACAAACAGCAGCGCGGGACACCTTGCTACATGCGTTGATGATCTTAAATTTGTATGAAGGACCCCACGTCAGCTGGGAATTTTTAAAAATTAATGTGGACATAACTAATTTGCAGAGATTTGGCTTTGAGAGAAGAAATGCATTCTTCCAAAAAGGCCGCTGCTCCGCAAGGAGACGGCATGCGTAACGGGCAGCGAGCAGCGACCCACTCCCGACGGCAGGCCTTTCCGGGCCCCGAGCCGGTGACGCGCCCCGACACTACCTTTCGTCGGTCTCCAGGCTGGGCCCGCACGCGGGGGCCGGGAGACGCGCTGCGGGCCGCGGACGCACCTGCCCGCGCGGGGCGCACGGGGGGCTCGGCGGCGCCGCGCTTCCCGTGGGCGCGGGCCTGGCGGGCCGCCCGGGTCCAGCCCCCGCCCCGCCCGCTCCGCCTCGGCCGCGCCCGCGGAAACGGCTCCGGGCGGGAGCGGGGGCGGCCGGCGGCGGGAGAGGGGCCCTCGGGGGCCCCGGTCGCTGTCCGGGGGTCCTGCGGCCACGCACCCCCATGACCCCCCGCCACCTTGTCCCGGACCCAAGCCTCCGAGAAGCCGGCCCCTCCTACTCGCAGCTGAAGTACGTGAATGAGATACACCCCGGCGGGGCCCGCGCCGCCAGCCGGGTAAAGGGCAACGCGCCGGGCTTCGCGCTCCGCTCGGGCCCACGGGGCGCCGGGACCCCCGAGGGGCGCCGCCGATGGGCGCCGGGACACCCGCCCGCCTGTCACAGCCCCTGCGGGCTGGTGGGCGAGCGCTGGGTTCGTTCTCTCCGCTCAGAACACAGGCACCATCCCACTCTTGTTATTTTTCCATCCCCAGCACCAGCCCAGTGGGTGCTCAATAAACGTTTATTGAATAAATGAAGTATTAAATGAATGTCTTGTGGAACAATAGTCCTGGGAGAAGAAACACCCCACGGGGTACTGAACTTCAACAGTCCTAACAAGGACTCCCGGGTCCTGGGACTACCTTCCTTTAGGGAAGGAGGCAAAAATTACAAAGTAGCTGAGTTTCTCTTTATAAGAAAATCCCTTTAAAGCTTTTTTTTAAAAAAATAACTGTGTAATATAGTCCACATACATAAAGTAGAAAAGAGAAATGTATGTACAGTTTAACATGTCACTTAGGATCCGGGTTAAGAAACGGAACACTCGGAACCCCAGAAGCGCCTCCACACCACCCCTACACCCTCAACTCACCTCCTGCCACACCTGAGGCCACCATGCCCTCCATTTCTTCTCCAAGTAACCGAAGTCACTACTGTCCTAACATTTAAGGGGGTCACCCTTAGGTTTTACCGTCTACGTTCAAATCCCTAAATGATACAGTTTGATTTAGTTCCTTTAAATAGTGAGTTTCCTTGGTTCATCAAGATTAGGTTGTGATTTAAACTTTTCAAGAATATTTCATGTCTAGTGAACAAAACAAAAAGAATACATATGAGGTGCTGGATAACAAAGTAATTCTTTTGCTAGTTTTACCAACACTGTCCATTTTCACACAATTAGGAAAAGAATGACAGGATGAAATGGTTCATAGCAACATGTTTATTTAAGCCCTAGCTAAGCTCCATATACAAGCAAATACTTTCAGGGAAAACAAAAATCACAAAACAATATTTTCAAATGTTATACTATCTACATAAAAATTAAACTTGCAGAATTTACAAATTAATATTCTGAGCAGATAAATTATACATCCTTTTGCAAAATCCAGGCTACAGTATTTAAAAATTCATACAGCTGCAACAAAAGACATTCTCTCTTTACAATCTACCTATTTACATAGCTTTTGTCACTGAAGATTAGAGAGCTCATCACAGCTACCAAGGTTTGCAAACATAGTGTATTTAAAATATATTTAGCAGCATATAAACAAATTAGGTAAAAGGGGAAGGAAATACTACTATTAAAAAGAAATGAAACTAAAAGGTGATAGTAGAAACAACGCCATAGGAAAATAGGTGAAAATATATTTGTTAGGACATCAAAAATGTTTCCATCACAGAATGCATGCACAGCACACTTTAAGGGCATTTTAGTCCTGAGCACAGAATGGAGCACGCCTGCAAACTTTGGTCAATACAAGGAAACGTTAACAGTTAAGACAAACTGTCTCACGTTCTTTGTTAGTAGATTAAAGTCAACTCCACTTTATGAATAATCCTCAGTAATATTCACATATCTTTTTTTTTCTCCATTCCATTAAAACAGCTTTGAAATTTGGGAATCCTCTACAGACTTACATAAATACCAGACAAACAGTCCACAATTTGACTAATATTCCCAATATGTTTAAATATATAAATCTGAACAAACTGTATTATGAATTAATAGTAGGCTGCATTGTATTCCAAGTATATTCTCTGAAGGTCACAAAAGCAGACATCTTGTAATTGAAGTAATCTGAAGGTTGCTTTTACAGCTAGGCACAGAAATCCGCCACAGTAGAAGTGTGGATCAAGCAATACACCACTTAGAGGACAGATAACGTATTGGTAGATATTAAACACACAGGATAGTACACAATTTTATTAGAATACCATTTATATTCAGCAGTTGGATTCAGATATATGTTCCAGTTAATCCCATTCATAATATTTTGCCTAATAAATGCACAGCAATGTTTCCATAAAGAAGCTACAGAGTATTGGTACAGCATTCGATGCATGACTATCTTCACTCACGCTTAACTGCTGGCAATCTCATCCCCCACATCCCCTGTGTCAGAGATTTGACCATCTTGCAAATTGCGAGCCTTCCAAATTCTCAGAGTTCGATCACTACAAAGCAACAAATAAAAAATAAACGTGAAAAGAGGGCAGAAAGATAAATCATTTTTAGAATTACTTATGGACACATTTTCCTACAGATGGGGTTTAATAAATGTAAGTAAAAATACACATTGTCCCATAAGCATATCAAACAGGTACTCATAATAAATTAAAAGCAGCTCATATTAACCAGGGCTTGCTACATTCCAGGCATTGTTACTATGTGCCCTTTATACACATTAATGCATTTAATGTTCTTCCCCATAAGAGACAGATAATGCCATTATTTCCCTTTTTATTGATGAGCAAATTGAGGTCCAGGGGCTGAGTAATTTGCCCACCATCCCAAAGTGATAGAGCCAAGATTTGAACTCAGGCAGTCTGGTTCAGGGTCCCTCCTTTAAACCACTACTCATGGTGGGTCCACGCCCATTACTGCAGAAAACATGTGACGTGACATTTGGTCAGAGGTCTTCAGGCACGACAGCCCAGAGTAAGGTCACAGTAAGGCCTCTGGGAAAGGAGGGACAAGGGGAGTTGGTGAATCTGGCAACAGTCAGGAAGAGTTATGTTCAGGTGAAATCAGCATAAAGCCCATAGAAAAAGCAGGAAGTTATTGAAAAGTGGACAAAACTGCACCAAGCATAGAATATAAAACATGCAAAACATTTCTGAGAAAACTGGTTTTTGTTCAGCCAGCATGTGTGTGCTGGGAACCAGACATTAGACAAATGCATCTCTTTCACGTCTCTCAGGGCTTTAAGGGAGCCTTACTTTTCTCCCATTTCCTAATAAACCCAAAGCCAAGAGAAAGGAATTCCATAGAATTTTGTAGTTAAAAGGCACTTCATAGTTTATGTAGTCCACTTCAAGGGCAGAGTTTAAGGACTTGTGCAATGTAACGCAGTAGAGGACAGAGCTGAGCCTAGAATCCAGGCTTGCTAGTTTTTAATCAGTCATCTTCTCACCCATGAGTTCTCATCACAAGGGAAAAATAACACATCTTTCTTTTTCTTTTTCCCCTGATGAGATGATGGATGTTAACTAAACTTATTGTGGTAATCATTTTACAAGATACCTAAGTCAAATCCTTATGTTATATACTGTATATGTATGTATACGGTGCTGTACATCAATTAACTGGGGGAAAATAATCTCACCAACCCACACAGCACATGTACATTGATAACAGCAAGGGGACATGTTAATTCATCTATCCACTCACCCATTCCATTTATTCATTCAACCATCCACTCAACAAATGTTTATTGAGAATTTGTTGTATTTCAGCTACTATTCTAGGTGCCTGGGAGAAAGAAGTGGGGCCAGGAGGGAGAGAGAGGAAGGAAGGAAGACCTGTGTTTCTGCAGATCGTTCACTCTAGCAAAAAGAGACACACAACAAACTATAAGTTATAAAATTTATTAGAAAGTAATCAATGTTATAGAAAAAGAAAAGACAGAGCACAGCAGAGGGGATTAGGGTGCTAGGCACTAAGAAAGATCACAATTTTAAATGAAATGCCAGGGTTACTCTTAAGTGAGAAAAGAAGACATTGGAAGAAGGCCAGGCCCTCTGAAGGCAAGGGGCAGATGTCCCAGGGATGGAGCGAGCCTGCTGTGTTCAAGGACGGCCTCTGCTCCGGGTGGAACGGGGGGGCGGGGGGGGCCACCGCGAGACTGTGAGTGGAGGGGGAACACGACCCGATGCGTGCTTTAGAAGGATGACTCCGGCTTCTGTGCTGAGAAGAGAGTACATTGAGGGCCTTGTTCCGGAGGCTGTCGTACTCCAAGACCTCGTTGTGACTAGGATTAAGACGTAGCAGAAGACGTGCTGAGCAGGGATCAGACCCCAGACATACTCTACAGTAGAGCGCCAACAGGATTCGCCAACGGGTTGGGCAGGGCGTGTGAGAGAAAGGGAGGAATGAAGGTTTCTGGCCTGAGCAGCAAAGAAGACAGAGAAGCCATCAGCTGAGATGGGCGAGGCTAGAACGAACAGGGCTCCTGGGAAGGCTGGGAGTTCAGTTTCGGGCATACTGAGACGATCAAACCTCCACTACCAGTCATGACAGAGTAACTGCCAGGTTAGCTCTCCTACTGTAAACAAAGTAAAAACCTGACAAAATACACACAACAACTATTCTCAGACACTGGGAAGTGGCAGTGCAGGGCTCTGATCCCTGGGAGAAGGGAGAGAGGGAAGGTGAGCTCTGGGACAGCCCTGGCTCTCAGCCTGGAAGGACGTTCCACACCACAGCAGGGGAGAGGAACCCAAGCAAAAAGCCAACACGGAGTCACTGAGTTGAGGAGAGAGAAATAAAAATCTGGGAAGTGTGAGGCACTTGGAATTTACAGGGCTAAGTAGAAGAGGGACAGCTATGAGAAAGACCTACTGTGCCAGGGAAAGAGCTCCAAAAGCCCACACAGGCCCCCGTGTCTGTGACTGAATGCCAAGCTGCACATGAGAGGAGTAAGACAAAAAGGCCAGACAAGGACACAGCTACCAGTGAGCTCTAAGCTGAGCAATTTCCTGAGCTGCAGAGAGAAGGGATGTTCACCT